CCCGATATTCTGCTATTCGTTGGGGGGGGGGGTTGTTGTGTGTAAAAACTGGGGAGGGCTTGATGAGCTTCAGCTCGACAGCTTGCTGTTTTCATAAGAGATTTGATGTTGTATAAAGCACAGAAGACATATGGCAAGCTCATAGAGTGGATGTTTATGAGCATTGTGGTAAAGTGTGGCTTATTTTTTTGAGGGGATAATGATGTAGTTGTCTTGTTGTCTGATGATCAGAGGGATGGAAAGAAATTGCATATTCAAAGAATGTGCAACTTCAAATCATGGTTGGATGAAGAAAGAAATAAAAAATTTTGAATGCTAGAAAGTAGTATAAAACTGTAAATGTCATTTTGACATTCAATGATCGCTTTAAATATCAGATCTACAAAAATAGCATTGACTTGTCCAGGCTATGTAGATCCAAAAATAATATGATGATCAATCCTCTTACCTACTGTCATCAACCAGTTGGGAGTGAATAGCTATTTTCTTTTTACAGTAACTCAATCAGGCAGTTACAACTTGTGAAGTGCTTAAATTAACTGCTAAATTCATTTTAAGTTATGAACTTAATTACATGAAAAGAACTGTGCTACTTACTTTAAATCACAAACATGAAGCTTTGTTTTTTCAGCCTCTAAACTTTTTGTCAACTCGCCATTTTCAGCTGAGAATAAAAAAGGAAAATTTATGTTTTATTATTTCAAAAATACACATAGTATAATTAAAATTTGCATAGGCTTACATCATGTTATATTATATATTAAATTTTTCTTTACTCAAGAAGTAATTTAATTCAACAGTTTATCGGTATTGTGTCAGTAATACTAGATGAGTATCCTACTGATTAGTGGGCCCACTGATTTTATTACTCTATTTAAATAATAATTATGTTATGAATAAAAAACAATAATAAGACCCAATTAGCGTTGACTTATTTATATCATTTATAAAGTTTTACCTAATGCCTCATGGTAAAAATGGCCCTTATAGTTATGTGACTTAATATTTTTGTAAATATAAACATTAGAAATCTTCTTCTGTAGTAAACAGGTGAAAACATATGAGCTATGATAGTTTAAGAAATGCTGAATCAAAGCGATGGCAAACAAATAAAAGACATTAAAAGAAGTAGTTACATCAGGGGTGGGCAACCTTTTAGTACGCAATGGAAATTTTCTTTTTGCAAGCCGCTTGATATTGTTCTATCAAACTAGAGTTATATTTTTTTTGTTTTTTTAATTATTTATATTAGGTGAAATGAGAATTTGAAGAAATAAATGTTGTCTGTGTAAAAATATGTAGGCCTAAACTTTTTGCCTCTGAAAAAGGAGACACTTCTTTAAACTTTAATCTAACTATTGGCATCCTTATTAGGATCATTTGAATGCACTTTATTATGCTCTATAAAAGACATGCTTTTCTCTGTTTTGATACATTCATCGCATGATTTAATTGCTTACAAAAATAAATTGATCACATTAAATCTTCTGTGAAGTCTAAGTCTGTGGTAAATAGGGGTGTAAGACATACCAAAAGAAAAACAAGGAAATAACCAAACAACAACATCACATGAGTAAGTTACATCAAATACAGCTATTGAAGCCTTCGGAGTAATGAAATTTTTTTTTAAGCACCATCCAACATGTCTTAGTGTGAACGCCACATAAAAAAAAAAAATCAGGAAAGAAGAAACATTGCCATCCTCCAGACTTGCAAATCACTGTTGCTTACACATCCATTAAAATTCTTTTGAAAATCCAAAATTGTATTATGGCTATCTACATTTAGTTTACAACTAGCGTCATATCCAAAGACAAATTAATCAACAAAATATCCACATTGGCAAATTGCATCACCATGTTAAATTAATACCTTTAATTTTATCCACTTCAGCCACCCGAGCCTGAAGGTTTTCATCACAATTGGCCTGAAGAGAAAAGAAAATAATGGCAATTAGTAGCTGGTTATTCATAATGGAGCTTTAAAAAAAAAGGGAAGCGTTAATCGCCAGCTCTGCGAATAAAACCGAAATCTTGGAATAATGCAGAGGGTTATCGTCAGAAAGAAATTTTAGAATAAGGCAGGGTTTTATCGACAGACAGAAATTTTCGCATAATCACGCAAATTTCTAGAAATAATTAGGATCATATTCCAAGCCAGGGGTGGGGTGGGGGTGAGGGGTGTGTGTGTGTGTAGTGTTAAGTGGTTTAGATCGATCTTTAATGAGCATGGCACAAACACATTTCAAAACCTTGCCTTGTAAGGGAGTGGGGGGTCAGTAGCATGTTTCAATTCTACATGTAGACTTACATTTACCCAATTTAGAGTGGTCTTAAAATTTAAAATGATGGGTATCATTTAGTTTTTTAAAGCACTAAATTATTTCACCTAGTCCAGAAATTTTCTGTCAAAAATAGTTCTTCTTCTTCTATATCTTAAGGGCCCACGATCAATTTATTGATCATTTTGGCTCCTATGCATGTAGATGGGATTTGCAATGTTTCTGTTACTGGTGGTGATGAGGAAATTATGCACTAGTTGCAGAGTCATGCCGTGCAACAGTGTTATGATGCAGAGAGGTGGCTGCATCAGGTGGCCATGTGAGGGATGGGGAGGTACAGTGGCATATAACTTCGAAATATAATGTAATTTAAATGCCGGCGCGTTCTACTAGCCAACCGAGGGTCCCAGAATCTAATCCTGGTGAAGGCTAGGAATGTTTGCTTCTTCTTGAGGGTGTCCCTGAGTGTACCCAGCTCTGGTGGGTACCTGGCATTAGTTAGGGAAAAATAAAAGTGGATGGTCATTGTGCTGGCCATACACTCAGTATGCCATAGCCACAGAAACTTGTAAAGGCTGCTTACTTCAATTTCCCCATGGGTAGGCCAACATGATCTGAAGGGAACTTTACTTTCCCAAAACTGGCATCATATGAATATACCACAGGGTTCCAAATAATTCGATATGCCTTTTTATATTTTGACCCATAGTTACAACAGTAGCAGTATGGCTTTTTGTTTCAATGTATCTATATTTTTTTTACGAGAGCTCAAATTTTTCATGTCAAAGATATGTTTTCAGTATGTTCATTTCATTGCCATTAAAATTGTTATTTTAAACATGTCTGGTACTGTTGTCACAGTAAGACTATTGAAGCTATGCACAATGCACATAAACTTTCAACTAGCTGACCATCCCACATGCTGAACTTTTTATACCAACATCGTTTTAATGCCAATTTCAGATCACTTAGACAGAAATTACGCGACCAGCCTCGAATATGTGAATAATGCCAAGCGTTATCTGCAGATGGTTGGCAGACTGATATCTTTGAATAACGCTGATCGTTATTCGCAGTCATTGGGCACTTTTGCTAAGTATATCTGCTGCTACTACTACTACTAATAATATTCATCAGCTTTATCTGCTATGTCTATAATATCTACCCTACCTACCTTATTTAAATAAATTTATTATTTGATTTTTATTAATTATTTAGATTAAGTTTAAGGTTTTCTGTCGTAACTTTTTGGAAGTTTTTGGTTGTCACATTTAAGCCTCCTATAACTTATAACTTTAATTATATTATATCTTATTTTACTTACTCATTTTAAGTAAGTCCTCTTTAAAAAAAAAATAATAATAAATAGTAATAATAAATAGGCTACTTTTACTAATTCAACTAATCAAAGCAATAATTGGACCCAATAATAATTATTTAACCTACCAAAGTCTTTTGAAAACCTTCGGCCTCCGTTTGTTTTTTAGTGAATTCTGATTTAACATTGTTCAACTCGGCTTCCTTTTCTTGTAGTTGCTTTTGGATTCCTTCCCGCTCTACTTTAGCCCGTCCCAATTCCTCTCTTGATAGTTCCAAATTCTTTTCACTTTCTGATCTTTTTTGGTCAAAGTCTCTTGATTCCACCCTGACCTTTTCAATCTCGTTTCTAAGCTCGTTGTTTTCACTGTGGTAGCTCCAGTATTCATAGCCAAGAAATCCAACAAGCACTAACAATCCTATTAATATAAAAGGAGGCGTACGACCTGGAGATCGCATGTTGGACCTGGTGGCTGCTGAACCCGTCATGTTGCTTGCTTATGTGTAAAAGAATTTAAAAGCAGTTGGAAAAAGTAAGATATTGCTGCTATCTAAAGTAGTCCAACTAAATGTCCCCTAATCTGCGACTTTCCGGTGTTGACGTTTCAGTAGACTACAACAACGGCCGCGTGGCATATTGACAGATTTTTCAACCAACGGCAGCCGTACAGATATAGTCCCGCACATGGAAGCTCACATATTATGAATTTGAGGAATATTATATGCTACTGGAGACGTAACAAAATTATCTAACACTAAGTTGTCGCAGCGTCACTAATGACATTGTCTGCGGTTTGGGAAATAAAGAGACGCATATAGGTATTTGTTAAAAACAGTACATGAGTCATGAGTAAGTACGTTAAGAACATTTATTTATTACATACGTTGACTGAAACATGGTGGTAATTTAAATAAACTATATTACAGGGTGGGCCAATAAAAGTGAGAACATCTCGTAGCGTAATATTTTACGAGATGTTCTCACTTTTATTGGCCCACCCTGTATAGCTTATAGGTAGGGACGTCATTTGTCTAGGGCAGGGTGGTGAATTTGCCCCCCCCCCGAATTTGTAGGTTTTATTTCAATTGATATGTACTATGGCGCCTCCAGTAATAAATAACTTAACTAGCGATCAAGTTTTGGTCCCCCCCCCCCACTGAAAAAAAACCTGAAATGACGCCCTTGCTTATAAGTTAAGATATCCTTATCAGTGGCATCACTAGGGTTTGTGTCACCCAGTGTGGTAGAAATACGGTGTTATCCCCTCAGACTTCTCCGTGGAGCTCCTTTGAGTCTGCTTACTCTGATGACACTGGCAATTGTGGCACCTCGCCATCTACTCAGGTGAAAACTTTCTCTGGTCTGATGCAATATGCTCTGTTGTCACCGTGTTCTGGTAGCCTCCAGCTCTTATATTTAATTAAGATAGGTTATAAAACCGTATCTATCCTATGCTGCGTTTGCATTGATCGATTTTGTACCCTGTGGTCGTGTCAACTGTTGCAGTCCGCATCCACTAACCCCGACCACCCCACTCTAAAAAAAGGTCACTTTGTGAATTGTTATACGCTTATATTATTTGTTTTTTTCTGGAGGTGTGTCAGTCAAATTAAGTCACAAACTCTAGCTGCACCGCTGCACCATTCATCTTAGGCAAAATTGCACGAGACGCTCAAGTTACCTTTTCCTTATGCCACCTATTCAGGTGGCATCCTTTTCTGGTGGCACCAATGTCTGGTGGCACCAATGTCTGGTGGCATTGTGCTCGTGTATTCAGAGCCGTCAAACGGTCCCCGCAAACCCTGCCTCTGCATAAAAGAGGGAGTGGGGGGGGGGGAGGCTCAGAGATATAAAGGATATAAAATTGTGAAGAGGAACAAATTTAATTTATATTTAACTAGGTTCGGTTATGAAACCGACTGGAGGTATAGCTCTGTGAACTTTGCAAATCGTTCTGTTCTTGTCATCTCCTTGTGTGTCACCCGGTGTGCTCCTAGTGACGCTATTGTTTCCCACGCCATTCCCTTGATACCGCAATCTTGTTATTAGTCCTGGTTTATAAATGGAATCCTTTATATCGACAATAAGTCATTCATTGTGAAACTACGCTGATGATTGTTTTGTGTATTATTTATTGAGTGAGACAATGCAATTTTAACAAGGACTTCATTAAACAGCATTAAAAATGCCAATAATTTAAATGATATGCATTAAATAACTATGTAGCCTATCATTTTGCCTAGGCAAGCTTTTAACTATCCAATATGAATGCTACGTTTTCTCCCGATTCTGCACAAAAGCATTAAATGACAAATATATTTTGTTAAAAAGATAACTTACTAGCTATAGCCCGCCAAACAATGGCGCCCGCATACGTGAACTTCCCATATACTATAGTAACTTGACAAAAAATGTAATTCAAGTAAGTTTCCCTATTAGTCATATGTCTTTGTTAGCAATGATGTCTGGCCATTTTATGTTCAGGGTCATTCTAAGGTAGGTGTTTGTGAAGGTCTATGCTTTCTGCGTGATGCTCTCTGTTGTTCTCCAAGTTTCGGCTCCATATATAGTAGGACTGTTTTTACATTTGTGTTGAAAATTCTGACTTTGGTTTGCATGCAGAGTCAGATCCTGTAACTCCCGTATTTTCTTTAATAGCACAAATGGTGAACCAGCCTTTTCAATTCTAACGATGACATCAATTTCTCCGGGGAAATTTCTCCGCCATTATGGGGTAAAGAAAAACTAGTCAGGGTCAATCAAAGTTATTATGGAGAAATGAAACATGCAGGGCGGTACACGAAGGTGTGTCTGTTTGTGGGGGTCTGTTTAGTAATTCCTCAAAGTATTCCACCCATCTTTTTGTTGTTCTTTTCGTTCCGTCACTGTTTTACATTACTTGTCTTTAACCGGTCTCTCAGGATTCTTGTATTTTTCTTTGAGCTTTCTTGTTATATCATAGAGCTCTTTCACGTTCCCCTGTCTGGGTGCTACTTCTGCTGTTGACGCTAAGCCATCTTGGTGTGCTCTTTTTATCTTTTTAAAAACTGCTCTTACCTTTCCATTGGCTTCTTTATATTTCTTCCGTGCTTTTGTTTTCTCTGCCCTGGTGCAGCTGTTTTTTTTACTGCTCTCTGTCCTGGTGCGGCTGTTCTTTACTGCTCTCTGCTCTGCGTGCAGCTGTTGTTTACTGCTCCCTGCCCTGGTGCGGCTGTTGTTTACTGCTCTCTGCCCTAGTGCGGCTGCTGTTTACTGCCCTCTGCTGTAGTGCGGCTGTTGTCTACTGCTCTCTGCCCTGGTGTGGCTGTTGTTTACTGCTATCTGCCCTAGTGCGGCTGTTGTTTACTGCCCTCTGCTGTAGTGCCGCAGTTGTCTACTGCTCTCTGCCCTGGTGTGGCTGTTGTTTACTGCCCTCTGCTATAGTGCGGCTGTTGTCTACTGCTCTCTGCCCTGGTGTGGCTGTTGTTAACTCCACACTTCTTTTTTTTTTCATCTCGTTTATTTTTTGCAACGTGTTGAGTGAGAGGCAATCTTTGTGTTGAGTGAAAGCCTATCTTTGTGTTGAGTGAGAGCCAATCTTTGTGTTGAGTGAAAGCCAATCTTTGTGTTGAGTGAGAGCCAATCTTTGTGTTGAGTGAGAGCCAATCTTTGTGTTGAGTGGGAGCCAATCTTTGTGTTTTTGCTTCACCGGTGCCAATACCTCTTTGCACGTGGATGCCACAGACATATTTGTGCTTGGCCTTTGAAGTTTTCTATGGTCATCATCTATTTGGTCCTTCAGTGCCTGGAACTTATTTCTTAAGGTAGCACATAATTCCTGTCGTTTCTGCTCCTCTGCCAGAAGTGCTACGTTGTATTTCTAGCAGCTGGCTCTTTTCAGTTTTTCTTCAGTTTTCACTTGAGTCAACCGATTTAAATGGGACAATTTGCTAAAATAAAGTATGTTCGTTATCCAACCTCAAATACACACTTCTTTAAATATTAAGTTATCTTTTCTTATATTAGCTTTATAAATAAAATTACACATAAAGGTTAGATTTAGATGAAACTTTGTAAAAATGCGCTTGAAAATCTATATTGAAAAACTGAAGGGTTTTGAGCTCATAATATTCACACCTGTCTGAACTAATTTCATTTTCCTTATATACGTTATCTCTCTTACATTTTTCAAACGATTTTAATGGTACAACCTTTACATTTTTTACCTGGCTATATCTCTGATGAATTATTTAGAGTCCCTATATTAGTGATACCGTAATTAAAATGACACTTTATAGAACGGGTCCCCATCTGATCTTCATTTTATCTTTAATGGGAAAACTATAAAGTTATGACATTATGTTAAGATGTTTTAGTCTCCAAATAATGACTGCATAAAAAGAGTAATTTTTAACAAAATTATTTGAAGGTTTAAATAACAAATTATGGAACTTTCCAGCAAGTTCTATATTGTTCCACGTTGGTACGAAGATTTTGAAAATATGAATTGGGTATATAGGAAATTTTATTTTAGGTTTCCTATACTTTCCTGGGGATTTCCCCTGTATTGATTAATATTTTAAGAAATAATATTTTTTAAGTTTCTTTAAGCATCTTATTCAAATCATAGAACGTTAAATGTTTGCCTAAGGCAGGGTTCTCAAACTCAAATCATCCGGGGACCGCATAAGGTAGAGTCTGAGTGAGACTGGGCCGTATCAATAAAAAAAAATAAAAGCGATTACAAAGTCATAAAGTAAACCTGTTACAAACTGCTCAACCTTTATTAACAAAATAAATCATTAAGGGTTCTCAAGAACTATAGGCTTCATTTTCTTCCTCATACTCCTAGTTGCCAGAGACCTGGCAGCGCTTCTTCTTACAAAGCTGAGCAACATATGGCTTGAGTGAGGAAGCAACTGAGACCCTCAGTATAGTTTAAAGATGCTCATAAGATTCGCCCTGAACTTTGACTTGTTAAATTTCATAGTTGGAAAAGAGCTTTTCACACAGATAGGTACTCCCAAAAAAGCACATGATCCACTTGAGCAACCTGGAAATCTCAGTGAAGGTGGAGGGCAATGCTCTCACAAATTATCCAAGCTTGTGTTTTTTCCATTCACCTCCCTGAACTTAGAATTGCACTGAAGTTCAATCAGCTCCATTTGAAGCTCAATTGAGGTGTAAGTGGGGGGGGGGGATTAAAGGAGAAAGGGTCAGCAACAAGTTGAAAAGTGGCTCTGTATGTTTTTAAGTCTACAAACGTGTGATCAGATTCTTCCTGTATCTTTGCAATGTCATCAGTATACTCAGTACTGAATGGTGTCCCCTGAATCCATGAGTACTTTTCATTTTGGGAAATGGCAGAGGTTTCTCAAAGAACCATAACACATGTTTGTGCAGATTGCCGCGACATTGTCATAGGCAACACTAAAAAACTACCCCTGTTCTTGTGATTTCTTATTGAGTACATAAAGCTCATGTGTAATGTCAACAAGAAAAGTCAAGTTCATGAGAATCACTTAGTACAGGAACAGCCACCATATTCTTCTCCATGAAGACTTTGAAGGCTAAAACGTGTTCAAACAGTAGGCAGGAGGAGCAGGGAATATTTATGAATTATTGATG